TATGTATATTATGGAAAGTGTGAGGGAACATAGGGATTTTTACTGTAACCAATTTGTTTTCTACCCAAGTATTTTAACCAAATTATTTTTGGGCCAACAGCGAACCAGAAAAGCCAACTTTAGATTTAGAAAGTCAAACAAGGGTCAGAGCAATAGTACAGTGGGTAAGGCTCATCTTGTACAAGACCTACCCGAATTTGATCTCCAGCACTCCTATATGATCCCCTGAGACCCTCCAGGAGCGAGCCCTGAGTTCAGAGCTAAGAGTAAGCCCCTTGCACTGCTGGGCATCGACCCCCCCAAATAAAAAATGTTAAAAAGTAAATGATGGTAAATTCATCTCAGACTCAAATTAAATGTATGAAAAACAGCAAGACATTAAGTACCTGAGTTATTATAAAACTAGAAGATGTTGTGAATGTTCTAAAGTGTTCTAAAGAATGTTTTGAAGATCAGCATTATCTCTTTTAAGCTAATTTGCTTATATGTTTGTTTTGCAAATTTTTTTCTTGATACAATACAAAGGCAAATTCTCTTTTCCATATTCCCTACTGAACTATTTTTAATTATAAAATGGGGGCCAAAGCCATAGCACAGTGGAGAGGGTGTTTGCCTTGTACGCAGCAAGGTTTGATTTCCAGCATCCATATGGTCCTGAGGCCTGCCAGAATTGATCCGTGTAGAGCGCCAGGAGTCAGCTCTGAGCATCACTTGTCTTGGTCCAAAACCAAACAAACAAAAAAATAAATTATAAAATGGTAATAATCGTAATTATTACTGCTTTTAAAAAATCCTCCCTCGAGTAGAGAGAGAGCTCAATGGGCTGAGTGGATGCATTACATATGGGAAGCCCAGACTTGGTATCCCATAACACATGATCCCCTGAGCACTGCTAGAAGTGACTGCCAAGTACAGAGTCAGGGGCCAACCAGAGCACTGTCAGGTGTAGCCTGGCTGGCCTCCTACTCCAAGGAACACCACATCATTAGATCGATGGACAGTTCTGCACTGCTGGGTTGAGTTTCACCAGGCACGTATCCTGGGTAATACTTATTCTCCCACTTTCTTTCCTGCCCTGCTGTCAAAAAAGATAATGATGAAGAAATGATGGAATTGAGGAAATGTAAATAAAAAACTTAATTCCAGAGAAAAGTATACTTTTCACCCCTCTAGATAAATCAATTTAATAGTAACTCAGCTTGAACAATTACTCAATGATTATCAGGTTTTTTGCTTTTTTGGGGGGGGGTCACACCCAGCAATGCACAGGGGTTACTCCTGGCTCATGCACTCAGGAATTTCTCCTGGCAGTGCTTGGGAAACCATATGGGATGCTGAGAATCGAACCTGGGTTGGCCACGTGCAAGGCAAATGCCCTACCTGCTGTGCTATCACTCCAGCCCCTGATTATCAGTTTTTATATTTGTTATTTGCATTTTCTCTATTTCTAAAATCATTATAGTTTACCTTGAACTCTTCAGAAGTTTTCTTCATTTAACAAGCTTGCAAAAAACTGATTATCCACCCTAGCAGATTATCCACCCTGGCATTTTATCAACTTTTAATAAAAACAACTATGTGATAAAGAAGAAATACACTAGGAAGCAACAATATTTCTGATTTATGGGCCACACCCAACAGTGCTCAGGGATCAGTCCTGGTAAAGGCTTGCAGGGATCGGATTATAGGCAGGAAGATAAAAGCACCAGATCTGCTATACTATCTGTTTATTTTGTTTGGAGACCACACCCAGAACAGCTTGGGGCATACTCCTAGCTCTGCAAGCAGGATCATTGCTGGTGGGCTGGGGGTGGAATTCGGAGAACCATATATGTGCAAGTGATAGAAGCTGGGTCAGCCACATGCAAGACAAACACCTTCCTTGCTATTCCTCTGGCTGTGATTTCTTATTTTGATGTGACAATTTTGAAAAGAATTATAATGAAATGCTATCATATTAAAGAGTACACTCAGTGGAGTAAAAAAAAAAAAAAAACCAGGAATCTAGTGATCTGAAGCAAAACATACTGATCCGATACTTATGATGCCATTTATTAGAATGCCCTTTAAAAAAGCCCATTTTTCAATCCCCAGCAACTCATATAGTCCCTTAAGACCCACCAGGAGTAATACCTGAGCCTATAGCCAGGAGTAAGCCCTGAATAAAGCTGAGTGTGGTCCCCCCAAAACAGTAAGATATTGAGTTCTTTGGGCCTCAACGTCCATTTCTGTAAAATGTGAGAGTTGTGCAAGATGATATTCAGTCTCCATTCAACTCTTAAGTTCTACTCTAATGCTTACTAGTATATTTTTTGTGTCTCAATCAGGAAGCAAACCTGGAAGAAAAGCAAGAATTTTACCTGTTATCATTTCATCATTTTTCCAGCTCATCCACCCTGTTTCTACTTTACAAGCACAGAACCTTGAAGCTGCTTTTAATCTTTCCCTTATGCATTTTATGGTCATACATTAATATTAATTTACAAACACTTGGATAGTGCTTTCCAAGTTTTATCAATCATTTTTGCAAAAACTATCTTATGTATTACAACAGCTCAGGCTGGTAAACACTATCTTCAATTTGCATGGTATATAAACTCAGATTCAGAAGTTAAATGAATAAACATAAATTATGGAAATAAGCCTTCTAATTATAAAGTCTTCATTTGGTGGAGGACACCTGGTGATGATCAGGGGCTACTCTTGGCTCTGCACTCAGGAATCACTCCTAGTGGTGCTCAGGGGACCATACGGAATGCCAGGGATCAAACCCAGGTCTCCCACATGCAAGGTAAGCACCTTACCCATTGTACTCTCTCTCAGGCCCCCAAAGTCTATATTCTTTTCACACTACAATGTGAAAAGAATAAATGCAAATCCAGATTTTTTTGGTAGCTAAGTTTTGGTTTTAATTTTGGTTGATATATTCAAGAAACTAATAAATTAAAACACCATGTATGATCTTGTGAATATACTACTGACACACCTCTAAGGGTCTTAGAAGAGTTGTATGCATGCTAGAAGCCTTTAGAGTTAATCTTCAGACCTAAATTTCCTGGTTTCCTGTGATCATACATTTACTGAGCACTTACTATATGAGAAACAAGACAGTAGGTAAGATACCAGTAGATTCTCCTAACAACCCTACAATGTAGGAATTGTACTTGTTGGGGCGGAGCAATAAATAGCACAGTGGGTAGGACCTTTGCCTCGCACACGGCTTACCTGGGTTTGGTTCCCAGCATTGCATATGGTCCCCTGAGCACCACCAGGGGTAATTCCTGAGTGCAGAGCCATGAGTGACCCCTGTGCATTGCCGGGTGTGACCCCCCCAAAAAAAAGAAAAAAAAGAGAGGAACTGTACTTGTTACAACACAACAAAGAATGAGACTCAGAGAAGTAAAATAACTTGACCAAAGAGGTAGTATTAAGTTATCAAAACTTTGGAAATATGGCTTCTGGGTCCATTCTGTGATTCCAATAGTGCTCCCTGCTCCTCTGAAGGCCTTCTTGAGGTTTCCTGATAATCATCTTACTCTACCCCTTCCCACTACATTCCATAGCTTAGGCCCTGATAAAATGTGTCCAAATCCATCCTATTTTGTCTCCCTAAGCGGCCTTTCCTACCACCTATCTTGAAAGCTTACCACCCTAACATGCCTAAAGCATTGTGGTTCTCAAGTTCCTGAGGCCACAATGACCTGAAGTGTCTTCCTTCTCTGCATTTAACAAAGGCAAAAGGCAATTCTTGCTCATAAGCACTACCTGACCATACATTGCATGTATTTTCTCACGTGGTAAAACGGTGGACAGCAAAATCATTGTGGTAAAAGAGGCAGAATGAGCCAGAGGAATGTACATGGAACTTCTGAAAACTTGATCCCTCTCACCATCCCCACCTGACCCCACCCTCAAATTCTTAATTTGCAAAACAAGGTCAAACCCCCCTGGGTGGAATAGGGGAGGATGGAGAGGTGTGATAGGGAGCGCAGCAAGCAGAGCAGAACATTCAAAGCGCTCATCAAACGTCGATTTCTGCCCCAGACTCATCATCTTCGAAGGAACTGTAAGTTCGCTGAAGGCAGGAACCTTGATTCATCCATTTCTGCTATTGCTCCAACGTTCCGATCCTCAGAAAAGATTCACGATCACCGAGATCACTGACTTGGACCGCTTCAGCAGACACATTTCCGCTAAGAACCGACCCAGGCTCTCGGGGTGGGCCTGCAAAGGCACGCTCTGTCCCCGGCTGTGCGGCCTCCGGAAAGTCACCGAGCCTCTCTGGGCCTCCGGGCCGTTATCTGTAAAATGTTAATGACTGCGCCTACCTGACAGGCTGGCGAGGGTGACCCGGAGAGGCTGCAGGGTCTAAGTCAACCCGCCCTTCAACACTGCGGCTACCGTCACGCCGGTCCGGAACTGGCGCGGTCCCCCGGGCTTTGGTGCCGGCCTCCTCAGTGCTCCGTGCGCCTGTGACGCAACAAGCCCGAGCCGCGCCTCCGTGCCCACCTCGGCGCCCCCAGCTCCGACGTCACCGCCCGGGCGGGCGGGCGCTCGCCGCATCCGAGCCGGCGGCGCCGACGAGGTCGCTCCCTCGACTGTTGCCATCTTAGAACAGGAAACGGGCTCGGAGGGCTCGAGCGGCTTCCCGCGCCCACAGCCCCGGCCCGCCGCCTCGGCGCGGGTCCGAGCGGCGCCCGCGCCCATTCAAACCTCCCCCAGCCCCCGGGCCGCGGCCGCGCGCGCGCCCGGCGCCCACACCTGAGCGGGGCCTGAGGGGACGGGCGCGCCGCGTGCGCTCCCCGATGCCGGCGTCCGGCCGCGTGAGGGTCACCTCGAGCGCCGCGGAGGGCGGGGCCGCGCGGCCCCCACGCGCCGCGGAGCGGGGGCGCCGCGCGGTCACGTGGCGGGGAGGGGGCGCCGCGCGGGCGGGCAGGCGGGCGCGCGCCTGAGGACGTGTGGAGGCGCGAGTCTCGCCCGGGTGTGAGGCTGAGGGGGAGGGGGCGGCGGTCGGGAGGGCCGGCTCCGCCCCCTGTGCGCATGCTCGGGCTCCGGCGGCTTATAAGGCAGCGGCGGCGGGCCCTGCCCGACAAAGTGCCGGCGAGCTGCGACGTGACTCGCCGCCGCGTGGGTGCCCGGGCGGACGGACGGACGCGTCAGCGGGCGAAGGACACGACCTGGAACCCGGGCCCCACGGAACTCCAGGCGCCGCGGCGTCACGCACACGCTGGGCGCCGCGAGCCGCGCATAACGGTCAGTTGGGGGTAACGCCCGGCGGCGGGGCGCGGTGCCGACCCCTCAGCGCCCAAACTTCCCTGCCGGGCCGGGCCGCGGTGCGGGATGACGGGCGGGGGCGAGGCGGGCAGCGGCGGGCTGGACACCCGGAGGCGCTGCGGGACAGCGCCCGGCCGCCGCGCCGCGGCCGCGTGGGGGGTCAGGTGCGCGCCTCCCGCCGGCCCGAGTTGGGCTCGGTGGTGACCTTGCGGGAGTCGCTGTCCCGCTCGTCCGGAGGGGACGCCGCCGGAGGTGCGGGGGTCGGGGCGGGCTCCCCGGGCGGCTTCACGTGGCGTCCCCGGCGCGGCCGCCGCCGGCTCCGGGGCAGGGGCTCGGGCGGGACGCGTGGCTCGCCCGGCCCCCACCTGGACGCGCGGGGTGGGCTGCGGCGCGGTGGCCGGCGCCAGGAGCCCTTTGTCATCCAGCGCGGTGGCCGAGCGGCCGCCGCAGCGCCCGAGAAGGGAACGACAGCCGGGCGGGCCGGGCGGGCCGGGCGGGCAGGGGAGCGTCACTCCGGCCGCGCGCGCGCTTGGGCTCCCTGGGCATCCTTTTCTCCCCACGTGCGCTTTTCGCCTGGCGTTGCTTTTTTTTGCCAGGACATCATTTGGGTGCAACCAGCAGTTACCAGTTTGTCATTAATTTTTAACCAAGAAGCAAACATGCCACGACTCCAGCCGCGTTTCCAGGGTCCCCCTTTTCAATGGGGGCATCTCTGCCCGATCCTAGCCGGCACGTTACCCAGGGACTTGCCCTGCCGTTAACTTGGTTGTGGATTTCTTTTTTTCCTTTCGAAAATTAACTCCGGTTTCGAAATAAGATGTGCCAACGTCAATGCCCTGATGAAACATGTGGGATTGGTAACTACTGGAATGTCATGGCAGGGTGAACTCCTAATGTGTGTGAGCTTTGGGGAGACCAGTGGGAATGAGCCACTAATAAACAGTGTGGTGTCGGTTACCCTCCCCGTGAGGTGAAGCATAGAGACTAGCTTATTGTTTAGACGTTAAATAGTACCCCATAAATCCTAGTCTTGTACACAGGAGTACCACTTTGCCTGTGAATTCGCCACAGATTAATGGTGAAGAATTAGAGACATCAAACTGCTGAAACAGTGGGAAAGTATTTCTAAAAGTTGAGAGCCAAACGACAAATGCCCAGCAGGCTGAGCGCATGCTGTGCTTGCAGGCCAGGAATCTGGCCCCCAGCACCACACGGCCTTTGTGGGAGTGGGAGTGGACACCCCCCCAAAGCACAAAGCTAGGTGTAGCCCACAGTGCTCATGGATGTGGCCCAAAAGCAAAGAAACAACAAATACTTGACTCTGATTCAGGGTGTAGACAGATAAATGTTCTTTCATTGGATTACAGTGACCATTGTAGATATACAAGTTAATGCCTGGGGGGCATTTTATGCACTCTTTATAGCTGAATAGATTTAAAGGTTTAATTGTAAGCTTAATATCAGTTATAATAGGAAAAGAAGTTGCTAACACCATAGGATGAAACCAGTAATTAGCGTTCAAAATAGTTTTGAATGCTAGTTTGCTTGTTGTTTGCCATTTCGATTTTAATAGATATATATAATAACTCCTTGATAAAACTCTTAATGACAGGTTTACTCACTTTACAGATTGGGAAACTGAAACGAGTAGTGGTGGTGGTGTCTGAAAAATTGTTAACGGTTGGGAGGGAATTGTGTCTTGTACCTTTTAACTAGCATGCTTTCTGTAGAATTGTAGATGTGGCTGCAAGTGATCTCAGACTGAATATAGATGTTTTGAGTAATAACTTTTTTCTGAGTTTTTCTTTTTCCATTTCATTTTAACTCTTTCATAATCAATATTCCTTTGTGATGGGATCTAGGTGCCTATGAATGCCTACATGACCAATCTGTGGCATTTAAGTACTAGGAAGATGGAACTTGGATATGAGGGGGAAAGTCTAGAAGGCTGAATTTTTAGATATTCAGCAACTTGTTGCCTATCAAGAAAGACTTAGGATTCAGCAGTGAACAAAGTTCCAATTCTGGACTCTCTCAGAGAGATAGTACAGGGGTTAAGGCACTTGTCTTGTACACAGCCAACTCTGGTTCTATCCCTGGCACTGAGTATGGTACCCCAACCACTTCCAATCCTTAAACATAAAGCCAGGAGTAGCCCCTGAGTACCACCCTGAGTGTGACACCCCTCAAAAAAAGGGGGGGGGCTGGAGCAATAGCACAGTGGGTAGGGCGTTTGCTTTGCGCGCAGCCAACATGGCCGACCCTGGTTTCGATTCCCAGCATCCCATATGGTCCCCCGAGCACCGCCAGGAGTAACCCCTGAGCATTGCCGGGTGTGACCCAAAAAAAGGGGGAAAAAAAAGAAAGTTTCAATTCTATCCCAGCCAGAGTATACTCTAGATGGAAAACAGATAAATGTGCAATTACCATAAAAAAAATAAGATTGATCTATGATACAAAAAGAATTATCATGGAGGAGTACACGTTATGTGGGAATAAATTTGTATTGTGTGTGAGAAGACTCCTAGCTTGATAGATAATCTATAAAGGTAGACCTCTAAAGAAGTGCTATAAAGCTGAGATCTGAAGTGTGAATAGGAGCTAGCTAGGCCAGGGAAAGATATGGAATGAGCTGTCGTAAAGTGACATGGTGCATTGGAAAAGCAAAAGAATCACCAAAGAAGCACCTTAAGAGAAAGGAAACAGAAACTGAGAAGATATCCAGTGTCAGGCAATGTTAGGCCTTAGATGTCATTTTAAGAAATTAGGGAAGGATCTAGGTTTTTAAAAGGAGACACTATTGTCTTGAAGCTAAGGCAGTTGGTGTTTTTAGTGAAGCTGGGAATAGCTTGATCATTTTAGCATTTTAGGGACATTAATCTGGATGATGCAGTATGGAGAAACTGGTGGAGGGAAGTTGGGAGGGTTTGAAACCACAGTGATGGAGAAGGGTGGACAGTAGTGGGAAGGTAGAAGAGGTAGGGGAAGAGACATGATTCAGTCATGGACCAGATTTGGGAGATAGGGACGTTGGAAGAGTTATAAAATATAACTCCTAAATTTCTAACATGCAAATGGGAATTCATGAATTAATTAGGTGCTACTTGTCTCCCTAACATCGTGAGAGGTGTTGACTAGTCCTAGAGTGCTCATCTTCTAAGACTTTGAAACCAAACTCAGTTTCATGTTTTTGTCAGTGTTACTGTTTTTTCTTGATATTGTGGGTTTTTTTTTTTATGTATTTCCTTTCTAGACCATTTACACTGAAAAATTCCATAGTTGAAAGTCTCTGCTATTTTATAGAATTTTATCTTTTGAAGTTTTGGGGCACTCAGGGATCATTCCCGGCAGACTCAGGGGACCATATGAGGTGCCGGAGATCCAACTCTGTCACATGCAAGGCAAGTGCCCTACCCACTATACTATCACTCTGGCCCCCAGGGTCTCCACTATTTTATGTAGTATGTATGATCTTAACTACCCTCCTCAATCCCTACTGATTATTGTGGAGCCAATTCCAGATAAATAACTTCATGTAAATATTTTAGTATATCTCTGAAAAAATGACATATTATAAATCATAATGTAATATAAGGATAGCTATATCTAGTAACCACAGTAGTATTCCACCTTCAAAGAGTAATACTACCAAATAACAAAGTATTTAAATTTTCTAAAGTATTTAGTTTGCTTTGGATTCAAACAACATATGTCACATTTGGTTGGCCTGTCTTTTAATCTTATAGGTTACCCTTCACCTATTTTCCTAATAATTTAATGGGACCCAGTTATTTTTCCTGTAGTTTAAACAAAATCCAACTCTGGATTTTGTTGATTATTTTATTTAACAAGTCCTAGTTGAACACATCCCTCTATTGCCTGTATTTCCTTTAAATTGGTAGGTAGGGAAAGGGCGGTTTCAAGAACTGAAGTACATTCTTTGCATGTGAGTGGCCCAGAGCACCACCCAGTATGCCCCCAAAACAAAAATAATAGGTAGATTGTAGGCTTAGTGCAAACTTACATTAGTGCGAGAATGATTTCTGAGGGTAAGTATAATTCATAGCAGGAAAGGACAAAACGTCCGTTTCCCCGTACTTTTCCAATTTTTGTTCTTAATGCTGCTACCTAGGTTAGACATCACAGTATTGCTGTGCCGTAGACTTTTTTTTTTTTACCTTCAATTACTGTTGTCATTCTCCAGTCTGACCTACAGTGTGTGCTGCCAATTTCTGTTCCTGTCATTTCTCTAACCAAAAATTCTCTTCGTGTTCAGTGCTTAAATAAAGTTAGTATTTGTCTGGACTAAGCTTTATAATAATATATGACTGTTTCTGTTTCGAGTAGTACCCACTGATCTGGTTAATGCTCAGATACTCTAGGTTTAGTATTAGGCTGGTGTTCCTGGTGGTGCCAGGGATTGAATCCAGACCAGAACATGCGAGGCTTACACATAAACCTCTTGAGCTTCTTTCCAGCTTATGGCTTTTAAATAGTATGTTATTTTTTCTTTTAAATTAGCCTGACAAACTGGAATCATTGGGTTCCTGATAATTGTTGTTCTATGAAACTCCCTGGTGATGCTCATGGACCTAGGGTCTACTCCTCACAAGTGTTCACTTGGCAGTACTCAGTGGGGATCTTATTCAGGACCTTGAGCTATCTCCCCAGCCCCCTGTCAACCTAAAGTTTTTCTCATACTTTTTTTCCCTATGATTCTATCTCTTGCTCTTACTCTTCTCTTTTTACCATCCCCCCACTCTTTCATGAAAGTATCCTTAATGGCTCTTGACAGAAAGACTAGAGTTAGTTAGAGTTAGATTTGATCCCTCATGCCATGCAGAGAAGCGATTAAAACACCAGCAATCATCTTAAAGAAACTGATTTTTCTTGTGGGTCTCAGAACACGCAACATGAGTTCACATCAATCACAACCTTGGTATTGGTTCAAGTGCTCAACTGTGGAAGAAAGTCACTGA